ATAGCCTATTCCCCATATGAGGTAAAAGAATTTGTTTGATTATTAAATAAGAGGGCGCGGTGTCTGGCAGCTGATCCTCAGTGCTGGGTACCTCTCAGTATAATTTTCCTCAGTTGCGACTCTGACCTTTGACGGAACCGCCACCGAACGCACACTGCCCAAAGACAGAGACGCAACTGAGAGGTGATAAATAGGGTGTTACATACTACGCGAGCGAGTAATTCGTATTTATTCAACCCCCCACGAGATCAGGTGGTAACACAAGGTCGGTTTAATGTGAGGAGCCCGAGCGCGTACACCTAGGCTAGGAAAAAAATTGCCTGCAGCCCTCACAAACGTCGGTTGCGCTAACCTCGGTTCGAGCATCGCTACCTCTCTCTGATGCAATGAGAGGTCGTGGCCTCGGGCAGGGCTGGGTACCTCTCAGTATAACTTTCCTCAGTTGCAACTCTGTCCTCGACGGAGCCGCCTCTCAGCACACTCTTCCCAAATACAAAGAGACAGCTGAGAGATGATAAATAAACATGTTACAAAGCACTCGAGAGAGCGATTTACACACGGTATTTATTCTGTTTCCTCATTAAGATGAGATGCGACACAAAGTCAGTTTTTAAGGTGGGGAGGGGAGCCGGGCGAGTACAACCGGGTTAAGAACAAAACTTGCCCGCAGTCTCCGCAACAGTCTATTTATTATTTTCCTGTCTGATGTCTATCTATCTATCTATCTATCTATCTGTATATATATATATATATATATATATATATATATAGAGAGAGAGAGAGAGAGAGAGACTTCTCATATCTATCTATCTATCTATCTATGTATCTATCTATCTGTATATATATATAGTCTTCTCATATCTATCTATCTATCTATCTATATATATATATATATATATATATATATTCTCATATGTATCTATCTATCTATCTCTCTCTCTCTCTCTCTCTCTCTATATATATATATATATAGTCTTCTCATATCTATCTATCTATCTATCTATATATATATATATATATATATATATATATAGTCTTCCCATATCTATCTATCTATCTATCTATCTATCTATCTATCTATCTATCTATTGTGGTACGATCCACCTAATTTACATAGATGGAGTACCGACCATATAAATATGGTTGGTACCGGGAAGACGGGGGAGGGGGGAGAAGAGATCCAATCCAGAGACTCTGCCCGACTGCGACTAATGTCAACCCATTCTACAGGAACGGTCTTCCCAAGAATATACCAAAACTATCTGTAAATATTGTGTACACGTTCTTCTGTCAATACATTTTGTTTAAGTACATTTTGTGTTGTATTATTATTATTCCATGTTTTATTCAAGTTTCAACACTATCTATCTATCTATCTATCTATCTATCTGGCTTGATAGATAGCTATTTCATTCTATAATCAATTATAATAATTCTATTAGTAATTTCATAATCAAACTTGTAATGATCTTCATTGCAAAAAACGAAAAGATTAGCAGGCAACTCACATGAAGATGTGAAAGATCTATAACTGTTACTAAACTTGAGAAATCTAGTTTCACGAAAAACTGTTTTAAGAAATATACTATATATATTTTCTAAAGACAGTAACACTAACTGTTCGAGCAATGACTGTCGAATGCTTCCTGTTTGAAAACCGCTAACTCATCGTTACCATTACCATTGGGATTGTTCTGCAAGTTACACTGCTTTTCAGCGTTCATATTTTGAAGTGATTCTTATGCATATACAATGGCTGTCACTGGTCAGAAAAAGGATATATCGCCTGCTTCGTTCGGAATGCCATTTGCATACGACTGTTATCATCATTCTTTTCCGATATAATTTTACATTTTTAAAAAAAGAAATTCTTGTCCTATCTATAAATAAAATAAAACTGAACATATAAACTTTTTCATTCATCCAGAATTCGTAAAATCGTTCACTCTTCGGATTTGTGAAAACCATTCTTGCTAACTAAAGCAGAACTATCTTTTGATAAACAGGACCTTCACTATAACTATTAAGCTACACTCAGTTAAAAAGATGCGTTTAATATGGTTTTTAGTCTTGATTCAACCTACGGTTGGATTAGCGAAAGATCGTTTGAGAGTAGAGTCATATAAACAACGACGGGATATATTATTAGGTAGGGACAAAGCTACACATCTAGGAAATGACGTCATTCTGGACTCTAACGAAAAAATCGTAAATGAGCAACTGATGAAGAACAAAAAGATTGAAATGGCGAGGTATCTTTCGGGTGAGGAGATCTTTCCGCCTGGTGTAAGTTTTACAGAGGTCAAGAGGAATATTGAGAAGAGTAAAGTTTACCAGTTCATACGAAAAATGCCAAAAGGTAGGTTCATTTTTTAGCTTTTTTATTGGCATGTATTCTGACGAGATACAATCCTTAGTCTCGTTACTATTCTCCTCGACATTTACAGTTGGGACCAGCCATGATACATACACAATGGTGAGCGATCTACTTTCCCTTCGCGTTCCATAAGTAAGAAATAAGTTCTGTTCGGACAGATTCTTCCTAAGAACTGCAGCTTTGTGGAACAGAATCCCGGCAGGAAGTTTTCCCAATGCCTACAATCTTGGCCTTTTCGAGTCTAGGGTTAACCGTTATCTTTTCCTTTCGTATTCCCATAATAAGAAACAAATCCAATTTGAACTGCTTCCTCCCAAGAACTGCTTCTTTGTGAAACAGACTCCCGATAGGATGTTTTCCGGATCATTCTGGGTCTCTTCTAGGGTTAACCGTTATATTTTCCTATCGTATTTCTATAGTATGAAGTAAGTTCCGTTCGGACAGCTTCTTCTCAAGAACTGCTGCTTTGTGGATAGATTGTTTTCCCAATCACTATTGTTATAGACAAGCGTATGGTTGCAAGAAAGAAATACGACAACAGTAGAAATAGATTTACGTGGTTTATTTCAACAGGAACGTGAGGGTTTGGGACAGCTACCTTGTGGTAAAGTTCATAAGCCGGCTTTCGGATCTGGTCGATCTCTCATAGTAGTTCACACATGTTGACGGTGGTTGACGCTCCCCTGCTGCTGATCGCTCGGCCTGACCGTCAGGTATGTTCGCTGGCCACCTGTTGACGATATTCAGTCACCCCCCCACCACCACCACGAGGGTGTCATGTGGCACAAGGCCTTTTTAACGTGGGCATTCCCGAGCCATTAGGCTCGGGCAAAAAATAACCCATTCGAACCCGTATAAACGGGTTCTGGGCCGGTTTTACCTCCCCGAAGGAGACTCCGCCCTTCGGCGTAGCCTCCTTCGGGTTCCTCCCGCCCGTAGGAAGTGAGTTTAACCGAACAGTCGGTTCAAAAGTGAACTGCTGACTGACTGTTGACTGCCTGTTGCACTTCCGTGTGACCCCTTTTATAGCGTTTTTTATGGCTTAACAGGCTCGAGAAACGAAGCGAGTATAATTAGGAGGGAAGCATTTTTATTGGACGAAAAATAGAGCACTTTAAATATTATTTTATTTTTCGACCGGAACACGTGTGTCGGGAACATTTGTAAAGAAAGATAATGGTCATTTTGTGACGGGGCTTTGTCCCGTTCACATCCGGTTCTCGCTGTTGAGTATTTGCCTGTAAATCAGCCGAGATATGTCTTATTTTATTTTATAACACTATAATCTTGACCTCTTCAAGTCTAGGGTTAACCGTTATCTTTATTGCATAGACCCATAAACTTCTTACACTTTCTTACCTTCATTTAACACCACAGAAGTAACTGTTGTGCAGAAAGGCTATCTAAACTTGTCTCGTCGTTTAATGAAACAGCTGATCATCCATCCGTTATGAGTGTTACGTCTGCTCATGGAACAACGGTAAAATGTGGGGCGGTAAAACAGCGCTTTCAGACGTAGATAACTATTATATTCTTAATCCATATTCTCATGTGATTAAACCCTTTTTCATTCAACCGTTTTTTGCCAGTGTTTTCCTCACAATCTTACTAACCAAGAATTATGAGCCTTATACAAACTTTATGACGTTTCTAATGATCAACATTCCTTTGTCCCATTACCCCCTGACCTTTATTGGAATAACATATACCACTTACACAAAAGTGAATTCTTCACATTCCCTTCGTCTTCCAGTAATAAGAAGTAAATTCTGTTTGGAAAGCATCTTCCGAAGAACAGTTGCTTTGTAAAACAGATTTCCGACTGCATGTTTTTCCACTCTCCCCAATCTTAACCTATTCAAGTCTAGGATTAACGTTATCTTTCTTGCACAGATCCTTGAAATTTACTTCTCACCTTTTCTTACCCTCCAACACCTCTACCTTGAGTGACTCTTGGGTTACATATTGAGTGAACATTAGTATTAAAATTAGATAGATTGTAATGAGATCTTTTGTTTGAAGTGACGTGAAACGTCAAAATCTTTATTACTTTCCCTTCCACTTACATGTGCTATCCGTTTTAATTGTTACTGCTGTTGGTAGTCCACAAGTAATGTAGTTTCTCTTATTTCATACAGTTCTTTGTGACAATGTAGCTTCACAACGTTCGAACAAGGACACTCCTCGCTAAGACCTACAGGATTCATGCGTTCGAAAGCTTTTGTAATCATTAATCTGTGAAAGCGGTCATATATTGCTGACAGTTTAGATATTTCTCCACGAATTTGGCGCCATGCATGACACCCATATGAAAGTTTCGATTTGACGAGAGTATTTAAGACTATCACTTGAGTTTTTAAATTAATATTTCAGTTTCGTATCAACTTACGGTGTTGGGCAAAACTAGATCTACCTACCTATCTAGCTAGCTAGCTCAATCTGTTCATTATCTAGCTATCTAGGTCTGTCCACTATTTACATGTCTATCTCAGTAGGTCCATTATCTATCTATCTATCTATCCATCTATCTATCTATCTACATATATATATATATATATATGTATATATATATATATATATATATATATATCAGTCTGTGCACTATCTATCTATCTATCTCAATATGTTCGTTATCTATCTATCTATCTATCTATCTATCTATCTATCTATCTATCTATCTATCTATCTCAGTCTGCTCACTATCTATCTATCTATCTATCTATCTATCTATCTATCTATCTATCTATCTCAGTCTGTTCATTATATATATATATATATATATATATATATATATATATATATATATATATATATATATATATATATATCAGTCTGTGCACTATCTATCTCAATATGTTCATTATCTATCTATCGATCTCATTCTGCTTAATATCTATCTATCTATCTCAGTCTGTTCATTATCTATCTATCTATCTATCTATCTATCTATCTATCTATCTATCTATCTCTCTCTCTCTCTCTCTCTCTCTCTATATATATATATATATATATATATATATATATATATATCAGTGTGCACTATCTATCTATCTATCTATCTATCTATCTATCTATCTATCTCAATATGTTCATTATCTATCTATCTATCTATCTATCTATCTATCTATCTATATATCTCAGCAAGACTACACCCAGTGCAGGTTCTTCTGTGTTCAAAATTCTTTTCTCTTATACTAAATTTATTTTAATTTATCCGAGATATTGTTTAGTATTTACTGCTTTCATATGATTTTTTGCGATGAATTCAGAGTATTTGGCATCATTGCTTTCATTCCAATTCCAGATCATAGTTTCTGGTTTGGAAGAAACAATGATCTAGAATTGGAAAGTGAGCATGGAGGACCTACCCTAAATCCATCATGACATGCGTAATGTTTTTGTTTTTGTATATTTAATATTTACTTTATATATAAAAACAGAAACGATGATTCGGGACAGTTGCTCCAAACTGAATAAACCTTAAAACACAATCAACATTATAGACTACAAATTGAGTTACTAAAGAACGAATCTACTATACAATGGCTTAGGTCAGGTCAGTTTGTTTTACGACAGGCCAGCTCTTGTCGTGTCTGTATCAACATTGTGTAATCTAAATCAGACACAGAAAGGAAACTGAAAGAACTTCTACAGAAGGTAGAAAAATAAAGCAAGAAGAAAGGACTAATTGTAAAAATAGATAAGGTATGGTTGTCAGTAAAAGTTACATCGCAAGATGTGAACAGCAAATCGGAGATACTAAAATGAAGCAAATACAAGAATGTAAATATATAGGAATATATAGGAAGCATATAGGAAATATAAAATGAAGAGGAGACTTGAAGCAAGAGAAACAAAGAAAAGAGTGCTGAACTGCTATGTAATATCAATCCTCCTATATGGCAGTGAATGCTGGACAATTTCCTCACAGATGAAGAGGAGACTTGAAGCAAGAGAAACAAAGAAAAGAGTGCTGAACTGCTATGTAATATCAATCCTCCTATATGGCAGTGAATGCTGGACAATTTCCTCACAGATGAAGAGGAGACTTGAAGCAAGAGAAACAAAGAAAAGAGTGCTGAACTGCTATGTAATATCAATCCTCCTATATGGCAGTGAATGCTGGACAATTTCCTCACAGATGAAGAGGAGACTTGAAGCAAGAGAAACAAAGAAAAGAGTGCTGAACTGCTATGTAATATCAATCCTCCTATATGGCAGTGAATGATGGACAATTTCCTCACAGATGAAGAGGAGACTTGAAGCAAGAGAAACAAAGAAAAGAGTGCTGAACTGCTATGTAATACCAATCCTCCTATATGTCAGTGAATGCTGGACAATTTCCTCACAGATGAAGAGGAGACTTGGAGCAAGAGAAAAAAAGAAAAATGTGCTGAACTGCTATGTAATATCAATCCTTCTTTTATGGACAATTTCCTCACAGAAGGACACGTAAAATGAATTATTCTTACATTTCGAAATATGTTTCTCCTTTCAATAACCTCCAAAGGGTTGATAAGTCGTAGAAAAAAATAAATCAACCAACCTCATTATATAAGTTAAGTGTGAATGTTTTTGCTTTCAATATATCCTGTCAGCTTTAAGTCTATGTTGACATTTTTTTCTTTTATTTTATTTTTCAGGTGGACTCCTACACATCCACGATTTTGCACTGACCAGTATCCAATGGCTGGTCTCATATGCGACTTATTTACCACATTGTTACTTCTGTCAATACCAGCGTCGTCGCAACTATCTCTTTACTTTCAGCGTAAATCGGCCCGTCTCTACTCAAGGTAATGTTCCCTACAGTTCACTCGATACAAAGTTCGCGAGCCACTTGGAGTGTTATTCTTAAAATGTTTATGATGAATGAAATGTGATAGGAATGAAAGAGGAGGTGGAAGGAAGTGAAGATGATGGGGATAAGGAGGATAGATAAAGATTGACCCTTGACTCGACGAGGCTAAGATTGTATTTCAGAGTTACTCTTAAATGGTTATATAGAATAAGTTGTGTGATATGAATGAATGAAGAGGTAGTAGGAATTCGAACTCTGCTCGTTGATTCCTTAATCTGATCCGGAATCCATTGTGTCTCTTCAGCTCAACTGTTGGATTCATGCCTTTTCCAACGGTATTAACATGTAAGTGAACGTAATGAACTCGACTGGAATTCGAACTTTGCTCTTCGATTCCTTAATCCGATCCGGAATCCATTAATCCACTGTGTCTCTTCAGCTCAACTGTTGGATTCATACCTTTCCCAAGGTTATTACTCCACCGTGCCTTTTCAGACCAGAAGAGTTGGATTCATGCCTTTCCCAAGGGTATTAGCACGTAAGTGAATGTAATGAACTAGACTGGAATTCGAACTCGGTTCTCCGATTCCTCAATCCGAGCTGCAATCCATTACTCCACCGTGCCTCTTCAGGCCAGAAGAGTTGGATTCATGACTTTCCCAACGGTATTAACACGTAAGTGAACGTAATGAACTCGATTGGAATTCGAACTCCGCTCTCCGAGCCGCTATCCATTACTCCACCGTACTTACACCTCATAATACTTTGCCTAATTTTCTTGAATATATTTTTCGCTTTTCTCATGTGTCTCCCAATTTCTATGTCATATTTGCCTCATTTAACTACCTAGATAGTTAAGTTTCTGTTTCTGCTTCATTTTGACGCCCCCATAAGGTAATTCACACTTTTGGCTGTCTCTTTTGCTAACAACCATTTATTCTGTCTTCTTACACTTAATAGTCCTTTCGTAGATTACATCAAGAATTTAGTAGCCAAAAACACAAATTGCCTTTTTAAAGGCTTAGAAAAAATGGCACAAGTTTAAAGGAGGTTTAAAAAATGTTTTCTTGAAAATCAGCATTCGAAATCCTGGTATTTATATCCCAGATTGCTAATGGTTGCTTGCCCTAAGCAGTTTAGTTCTCTTCAGTTTTTTTGTTTCCTTTGTAGATTGTGCCTGGAGCTTGGTAGCCAATGAGCGAAAACACTTCAAAAATGGAACTGAGGCTTTCGATAATATGTGAGTCAATTTTATAATATTGTCTTCATTGTTTTATTTTATCAATAAATCAAAATGAAGCAAAGTATTTTATTAATATTTTTGCTTGCGAACAAGATTGGATTCGGTAACCTTTACTCAAACGACATCAAAGAAATATCAATTCCCAGAATGTAATCGTGATCTCATGTCTTAAGATCTCTTCATACTTTGTTTTTTGTTTGTTTCATTCTTTCTTTTCCCATTTTTAGTTTCACGTTTTTTTTATTTTGTTTATGGTATATTTTTGCTTGCTTGTTTTCTTTCTTTCGTTTTTCCCCCTTTTTTATTTACGCATTTTTATTTTCAGATGGTTTATTTTTGCTTGCTGGTTTTGTTTGTTTGTTTTTTTGTTTGTTTGTTTGTTTCGTTTCACATTTTCATTTTCCCATTTTTTATTTTCCCATGGTTCATTTTTGCTTCTTGTTTTCTTTCTTTCTTTTCCCATTTTTATTTTCCCATTTTTTATTTTTCCATGGTTTCTTTCGTTTCACATTTTTATTTTCCCATTTTTTATTTTCCCATGGTTCATTTGTGCTTCTTGTTTTCTTTCTTTCTTTTCCCATTTTTATTTTCCCATTTTCTATTTCACCATGGTTCATTTTTGCTTGCTTCTTTTGATTCTTTTCCCATTTTTATTTTCTCATTTTTTATTTTCCCATGGTTCATTTTTGCCTGCTTGTTTCCTTTCTTTCGTTTCACATTTTTATTTTCCCATTTTTTGTTTTCCTATGATTCTTTTTTGCTTGCTTGTTTTCGTTTCCACATTTTAATTTTCCATTTTTTATTTTCCCATGGTTCTTTTTGCTTGCTTGTTTTCTTTTTTGCTTTCCCATTTTTATTTTTCCACATTTTCATTTTCCTTGTTTTCTTTTCTTTTTTTATTTTCCCATTTTTTGTTTTCCTATGATTCTTTTTTGCTTGCTTGTTTTCTTTCTTCATTCCACATTTTAATTTTCGCATTTTTTATTTTCCCATGGTTCCTTTTTGCTTGCTTGTTTTCTTTCTTTCTTTTCCCATTTTTATTTTCCCATTCTTTATTTCCCCATGTTTCATTTGTGCTTCCTTGTTTTCTTTCTTTCGTTTCCCATTTTTATTTTCCCATTTTTTATTTTCCCATTTTTTATTTTCCTATGGTTTATTTTTGCTTGCTTTTTTCTTTCATTTTTTTTCGCATTTTTATTTTCCCATTTTATATTTTACCATCGTTCATTTTTGCTTGCTTGTTTTCTTTCTTTTCCCATTTTTTTATTTTCCCATAGTTCATTAGTGCTAGCTTGTTTTCTTTTTTTGCCATTTTTATTTTCCCATTTTTTATTTTCCCATGGTTCATTTTTGCTTCCTTGTTTTCTTTCTTTCGTTTCACATTTTTATTTTCACATTTTTTATTTTCCTATGGTTTATTTTTGCTTGCTTGTTTTCTTCCTTTTTCCATTATTATTTTTCTCTTTTTTCTTTTCCCATGGTTCATTTGTGCTTGCTTGTTTTCTTTCTTCTTTTCACATTTTTATTTTCCCATTTTTTATTTCACCATGGTTCATTCGTGCTTGCTTCTTTTCTTTCTTTTCACATTTTTATTTTTCCATGGTTCATTTTTGCTTGCTTGTTTTCTTTCTCTTGTTTCACATTTTTATTTTCCTATTTTTGTATTTTCCCATGATTCATTTCTTCTTCCTTGTTTTCTTTCTTTCTTTTCCCATTTTTATTTTCCCATTTTTTTATTTTCCCAAGATTCATTTTTGCTTGCTTGTTTTCTTCCTTCTTTTCACATTTTTATTTTCCCATTTTTTATTTTTCCATGGTTCATTTTTGGTTGCTTGTTTTCTTTATTTCTTTTCCCATTTTTATTTTCCCATTCTTTATTTCTCCATGTTTCATTTGCGCTTCCTTGTTTTCTTTCTTTCGTTTCACAATTTTGTTTTCCCATTTTTTATTTTTCCATGGTTCATTTGTGCTTCTTGTTTTCTTTCTTTCTTTTCCCATTTTTATTTTCCCATTTTCTATTTCACCATGGTTCATTTTTGCTTGCTTGTTTTCTTTTTTTTCTGATTATATAAATTATAAACATTATGTCTGCTTATTTTTAATATAATCCGTTGCAATTAAATGATGTGAGAAATGTGTCTTAACTATGAAAATCGTTTTTATTTTCCATTTCCCAGGTAGTTTCGTTCTTCTTCCGAGATCATCTTCAGAGGTGTACGTAGTAATACATAACTCTGTGTTCGCGGGTGAAAGTCAAAACTGTTTTTTGATACCCATTACTGTAATTTTTCTTTTTTGCTTTCAAATGCAACAGTTGACAGTCATGTTTAGTGTTCATTAGAACATAACAACTTTATCCACTATGGAATTTTTTTGTTCTGTCTTCTAATGTTATGGTCATGAGTCCATTAAAGCGTGAAAAATAAGCTTTTTATATACATTTCAGAACATTAATAAAGTATTCATAATTGATTTTATTAAGTGGCGGCTTTAATTTTTTAACGTATATTGCTTCGAGGATCTCTAGTTTGAATTTGTTGATTTCTTGTTGTAGGATACTCCAATATTCCTGTACACATTCACAATATAAAAAACTACTAATCGACAACACAACAATCCTACACTAATTGGGATACCTCTGTATGTGTGGGGGTCTTGAGGTCTAGATTTCGGTTTCCATAAAATATTAATGCGTAATAAACCTTACTTTTTGGGATGTATCTCTGATTCCAGGCTTTTTACATGAGATAGAGAAATTTGTTATTGAATTCGCTGAGAAAGTCAGCTATTTTCAAAAGCTATGCCTCAATGCTTTATTATTGCCTAATTTTTTTTTTATAGCTTTCTTAATTTCCTCATCATTAGGTTCATTATTGCTTATGTTTGAGAACGAACTTTGTAATAATTCGCTGAATATTGGTACATGTGCTATTTTTTGTTTAATGTGGTCAGGGTTGAAATGTGATGCAATGTGTATTTTTTTTTTTTTTGAGACCAGGATATTTCTTCTGCAGAGGTTTTGATTGTGTGATATTATTGTGATTTTCCGCTTTTCTCTACATTTTAACAGATTGTTTGTGGAGGCAGCCTTTATACATATATATTCTTTTTTTCTTTTTAGGTTGGTCCAGTCTATTCTGCTCAATAGCACAAAAATCTTGTCTAGTCAAAGAAACATGACTCGAATCTGGCAATATTTTGAGGAATATTTTTTCAGCGTGACTGGGTTGATATTATACAATCCTGTGTTTTCAATGTACGTGTCCCAGGGCCTGAAGGAATTGTGGGAAGACAATATCCAACACTTTGAGATTCGCGCTTCACTCCAACAGGTAAGATGACCGCTATCTATCTATCTATCTATCTATCTATCTATCTATCTATCCTGCAAACAGGTCCCTGCGGATAGAAAAATGAAGGAAATTGATGAGGTCGTGAGGAAGGAATTCATTGGGTAAAAGAGGGTAGTGAGTTGCATTATGGCATTTGGTGGGGGGGATAAAGGGATATGAGGAAAGAAGCTCCGGTTGTCTAATGGATATGTCAGATGGGTGAAGAAGAGGGGAGAGGAGGGAGGCGAGGAATTGTATTTTTTTTTTAATTTATATATATATATATATATATATATATATATATATATATATATATATATATATATAAATTCTCCGATTTAACCAGTAGAGAAGACAATATTTATGAATAAAAAATGACAAAAGGAAAACTAGTAATTGCTGACGCGTTTCCTTCAATGTGGACTTTATCAAAGCAAACTACGAAATGAATATAATTTAACAAGGTAATTAATAAAAAACAAAAACAGAATGTTACTAGCAACTGGAATGTGGAGAACGCTATTTTCATATTGTTAACTGAAAATAACGTCAGTATTTGTCACGTGTGGAGAATATTGCCATTGTATCTGTGTTGATTTATTCAACCATTTTCTTTTGATTTTATGAATCTGTTGTGTACATTTGTTTTTGAGAGCAGTAATTTTGTTAAGAAAGGTGAAATGGGAAAAAACCTGGGCGTAGGATATATATTAGATAAAATTCTATGGCGGCACTCTCTAGAATTTTCCTTCTGAGTGAGTTATTTTCTTTTTATATGAGTGTAGCATTTTTAAAATCAAAATTATGGTTGAATTTGTTTCTATTTATGACTAGTGCATTAGCTAAGTTGTTTTTGTGAGGTCTCTTTTGTGCTCATAAATACGTTTTTTTAAACTTCTACTTGTTTCTCCAATATATTGGAAGGAACAGTTTTGGCAATTTATTTTATAAATGCCTGCTTCAGAAATATTATTGCTATTAGTGTTTGAAGATCTTAGTATATCCATAACGGTTTTGGAAGTGTTTGTGACTATTTCAAGTTTATTTAGATGGGATAGATTATTCTGGATAGTGGACGTGACAGAATTGGTCGGTAGTATTATGTATCTGTTTTCACGTGATTTACTATTGTGGATTATGTTATCAGTTTTTTTTCTTTTGTATATTTTGTATGCCTTTCTTCTTGCGTTATGGATGAAATGATATGGGTATTGTAGTTTTTTGAATGTGTTTTCTATGTATGTTTCTTCTTTAAGTAAATATTGGGGACTACAGATTCTTAATGCTCTTAGATAGAAACCTATAATAATTCCAGATTTAATTTTTGAAGAGTGGTTTGAATAGAAACTGATCAGATCATTTTTGCTTGTAGCCTTTCTGTAAACGTCAAAATTGAGTTCGTTATTATTTCTAATTAACAAAATGTCCAGGAACGGAAGAGTGTAGTTGGTTTCAGTTTTGAAAGTGAAGTTTATTGTAGGTTCAATGTTGTTAAGTTTAGAGAGAAGATCCGTTAAATTGGTGTTTTGGGAAATATTAATAATGAGTCGTCTATGTATCTGAAGTATGAAGAGTTTGTAGGGAGAATATTTTTGAATGAGTCCCTTTCTAGAAATTCTAAAAATAGACAAGCAAGAACACTGCTGAGAGGAGATCCCATTGGTAAACCAAATTTCTGTCTGTAATGTTGGTTATTAAAAGTGAAGAAACATTGCTTGGTAATTAGTTCGCATATTAAATAAATACTGATAAATAGATATATATAGAGAGATGAACAGATTGAGACAGATTCAAACAGGCTGATATATATATATATATATATATATATATATATATATAGTTGTATATTTAGGCAGCAATCCTTCCTTTATGCATGTTTCATTAAAAACGACAAACAAGGTACTACGGTTGAGCTTTTTATTTAATTTTTCTTGTGTTCTGACAAGAGCTTTCTTTTCTGGACAAAGGTGTGTAAGAACTGTCCGAATGTTTTTTTTTTTGCGAGCGCTTTCGGCTATACCTCTTTAGCCATTATCAAGGATGATTCGATTATGTTTAATTAAGTGTGTGCGTTCTGTGTATGTATCAGTGTGTGGTAGGGATGTTTTTAATTTCCGAATACGGTTAGCAAATTGTGGCTTTGTTCGTAGTTAATATTGTTAAGAGTTGTTTTTTTCTTTTAACCGTAGTATCTTGTCTGTCGTTTTTAATGAAATATGCATATATATATATATATATATATATATATATATATATATATATATATATAAACAGAATGAGAGATAGATAGATAGATAGATAGATAGATAGATAGATAATAGATAATGAAAGCAAACAGGTATCATCAAGCCTACATGTAAAAATAGATAATGAAAAGAATGAGATAGTTAGACAGGAAATAACAAATCCTAATATATATATATATATATATATATATATATATATATATATATATAAATTGAGATAGGTAGTTCGATATGAACAGATTGAGATAGATCTGAAGAGAATGAGATAGATAGATAGACTATTTATATTATTCGGACTATTGTCCTCATCTTTGTCGCCATATTTATTACAATGTTTCGGTCGTTGTACGCTCCGGTCTTCTTCAGGTGGTTGCAATGTCGAACAGAACCCTTTATTTCGCTCACTAGGGTAGACAGTTCTAGTTCCACGTGCTATGTTTAATGGATGTCAGTTATCAGTTATCTCCTGTTAATTCACCCCTCCAAGTTCTCCACTGCCTTAACCGGGTATTGAACTCACAACTCTGTCACTGGATCTAACCAACGGCTTTATCCACTGTGCCATGTGTCCTGGACACATGGTACAGTGAATAAAGTTCGACATTCCAACCATCTGAAGAAGGCCGGAGTGTACAACGGCTGAAACTTTGTAATAAATATGGCGACAAAGATGAGGACAATAGTCCGAATAATGTAAATAATGTTCATAATACCTCATCTAAGAAATATAGACAAATACTGAAAGGCCGAAACGTTGCAATAAATATGGCGACAAAGATGAGGACAATAGTCCGAATAATGTAAATAGTGTACATAATACTTCATCTCAGAAATATAGACAGATACTGAAAGGCCGAAACCTTGTGATAAATATGGCGACAAATATGAGGAAAATAGTCCGATTAATGTAAATAGTATACATAATACCTCATCTTAGAAATATAGATAGATAGATAGATAGATAGATAGATATAAAGGAGAAAGTCTGATTTAGATTTATATATAAAAAAGTGAACAATATACAAGTAAACTTGATTCGATTAACTTGATAGCAAGCTTGCAAGAAATAATTTTATTTACTTACTTTGTCATTTTATATACAGTGTAACCCGGATATAAGAGAGTTGTCGGGACCGGAGAAGAAGTCTCTTATATCCGGGTTTCTCATATATCCGGGTTTGGTCTATTTATATACATTAACACAGACTCTAATTTGGGACCAGAGAAAATCTCTCTTATATCCGGGTTTCTCTTATATCCGGGTTACACTGTATTTTGACACACCAAATAAATGTCAACGTTTCGTTTTTTTTTGTTTTTATTTATTTGAAAAGACGTATTCCCTGACAGGACGACATTCCAGTTCTCATACGGTCCTGCAGCAGTACATCCGTGGTATTAAACGCTTCCAGATGTTGCACTGCCACTCCTGTCGTGTCCAATTAATAATATGCCTTCACAGGTCAGTACGATGGTTAAATCAACA